ACTGCCAGTGGCCCCCGAATAACAAGGTCCCACACTCAACACGAGTCTATCTTTAGCTAAGCTGATGGGACACTCAGCTGTGCAACAGTGATGTGGTTTCCTTATAGCCGATTCCATTAGATTTTGACTCATGCCAATTTCCGTCATGCTTCAATCTTAAAGTGGCGTTTTGATTGAAGGACCCCTTGTGATGCTAACTTTCTGGTTCTAGACCCAAACCCAAACCCAACATTTGACCAAAAAGAAAAAAATACTTTCCTAACCTCTAATGTGCTTGAGGTTGTCCCTTCTAAACCAGAAGGGACAAATACAGCGCATTCATTACAACAATTCTTTTTTTCAATAACTATAATCAAGGCAGCAGATTAATTAAATATGTGGGTGGAGATCAAAAACTGAGCATAAAGCACAGGTAAGGTAAAGTAATAACATCGGTGTTGTGTTTACCGTTTCACTGATGCCAAGCTGGAAAAAAACTAAGAATTATAATAACTTTGTTCATGATGTCAAGATCTCACATTGACCTAATATTTTGACCTTTCTGCAATTTGCAATTTGCAATACTGCCAAACTCATCTCCTTATTATGTGTTTTCACGTTTTGATCAAAATGCGCTTTTTGATGTCTTTTATACATAAATATGTGTCCCCGGTGTGTCATACCCAAATCTCTAAAAACAGGGGTACAACGGAGCTGATCCAGATTTGTGTCCGATATGACTTAATCAGTGGTGTAGTGGGCGTTGGACGCGGGGGTACGCCGTACCCCCACTTATTTGGAGCATGATCTTTTTTTTAATAGTCGAATAAATATAAAATCATTGCCAGTCTTATCAGTTGCAAGTGTGTATTTGTTGTAATAATGACAAAAACAAAATACATTTCACAGTAATTATAATACAAAATAAAAACGATTTCCTTAAAGAATTATGATTCGTTATCACGCTCCTGACCCTGCGGCGAGTGTCAGTTTACCGCCCGCCGATTTTGCTGCAGCTCTTTCCCTCAAGAACGCTAACGAAAAAGCTCTATAATGGCAGGCAAACATTTTTTACTTGACTTCTTTTCTAAAAAGAATATAATTCACAAGAAGAAAGAGGCTAGCAGCACCGAAGCTACAAGTGAAGCTGCTAGTACTACATCATCAGAAGAGCCGCCTAAAGACGTGGATAATGCTAGCTAACGTGCACGTTCCCCTGGCTAGCTCAAGCTCACCGGCTTTCCCAGAGGTATGGACGGAGGAGATGTGGCGGAGGAAACAAGAGGCTACCCGTGGATAGACTGCAAAGCTGGGAAACTGGGCTGCAAAGTATGCGTTCATCCATTTCGGATTTATCAGTCTTCAAAACGCAAGGTGTGTGTGTGTGTGTGTGTGTGTGTGTGTGTGTGTGTGTGTGTGTGTGTGTGTGTGTGTGTGTGTGTGTGTGAAAAGCAGCGCTGTCTGCTTATTTGCAATGTAGGCTAGGCCTAATCAGAATAATTTCAAGTCCAGATTCAATGTTTGCATTAGTAGGCTATATATATTTTTCGTTTTGTTTATTTAATAACTTAATTTCAGGACAACTTTGGGAATTTTGTTTGTTTGTTATGAGTTTTAAATTTGAAAGTAGAGAGAGAGAGCGAGAGAGAGAGAGCGAGAGCGAGAAAAGCAGCGCTGTCTGCTAGTTGCAATCCTGTAGTTTATGCAATTTAGGCCTATACATTGTTTATGTAACTTATGTGCCAGTGTGTCCATGGTTTTGAGTCTGTGTGTGTGTTGAGCGCAGCGCCGTCTGCTTTTTGCAGTACAGTAACTAAAGTAGGACTAAGCATACCGGTAGTTTCTGTGGACCTGTCTGCCCGTTTTGTGAGTGCACTGCGCGCGTGCGCACTTGTGTGGCATTGTTTGGGATGACCTAATTTAAAATAGCGTCCCCCCAGTACAAAAATCCCCACTACACCACTGGACTTAATATCAGAAAGTTGTTATCAGAAACAATGCCCAACTGTTTTGAACCTAATATGGTCGGTGTTTACATTAGCATCGCTAGCACTCAGAGCTAACCTGTACTGGAGAGCATGTGTGTGAAGAAGCTGGATATAAAAATAACTCACCTTGTGGTATAACCGGCAAGAGAGAAAGCCTTTGAGCTCCATACTGTTTCAGAAATAATCCTTGATAATCCATGATATGGCGTTTCATCACCGCAGTATTTAGTTTAGACAGTAGCTGCCGGGTCCCGCATGAGTTTAGACTCCTCCTTTTTGTAAAGCTTTATGCCCAAATTCAGCACTTTTGAAACAGGAAATTAAATAGAGGGATATGAGCAGTGGCGTTTCTAGGTGTACAAAACTGGGGGGGCAGAAAGAGGTCGGGGGAGAGAGAGAGAGAGAGGGGGGGGACAGAGAGAGGGAGGAGAGAGAGAGGGGGGACAGAGAGAGGGGGGGGAGGAGAGAGAGAGGGGGAGTGTCAAATTACATACTGAAGACCACAGGAGCAACACTGTGAGCGCATACATTTACGTACACAGCGTGGGGATGTCATAGTAATGCACCTTCATACATGGAGTAAAGGTCACCATCACAAAGTAATTCTTAACAATAACAACAACCGTAATGCTTTAGCATTAAAACACCATAGACTGTAAATATAAGGAAAACACAGACACTCATCATCGAGGTCACAATATCAATCGATCCAGCAGAGGCAAAACACAGAAGATCAACAAAATATATGACATAAATGAACTTACCAAAGCTGAAGGCTCACTTGAAAAGAAAAGCGGCACGGCGGTCCTTCCTCTGACAGAATGTGTCTATCACTTTGGGGATGAAGTCCTGTAGTTGCTGGATCAACTGGCTTTCAATTGAAAGCATGGCCAATGCGTTAAGTCGCGGCTGTCCCATGGTGTTGCGAGTGAAAGTCTTTATCCTTTTGAGGGTGGAAAAGTTCCTCTCTGACTCGGATGTCGTCATCGGAGTTGTCACTATTATTTTGACCAAAATAACAGTCTCAGCAAACGTTTCCTCCAAGTTGTTCTCGTGAATGGATTTCAACAGAGACAGGGCAGTGTTTCCAGTGTGAAGCTCACTGTGGCGGTAGAGCGTGGTCAGCTCAGACTTCAACTTCTCCTTGTTTCCCAACGCAGGCCACAGTTTCACGGCGCAGTCAAGCTCAGGTGTAGGAAATGACAGGACATGCTGTGGGAAGAATGAGCTGTCAACAAGCTTTGCAGCGATCAAATGGTCACTCTGTGAGAACCTCTGTTCCACCTGTGAGATGACTGTGTCACAAGCCTCCTTCATCACCGGCGCTGTGCTGCTGACTCGTCGGCCTGGCTCATCTGTTCCATCATGAGCAGTGGCGGCCAATGCATCAGTTTTCTGCCTCATTTTCTGAACATTTTCCTTGAAACGGCAGAGCGCGCTGTTGATCCCAGGTGCATCGATGCTTCGTTTTTGCAGAGTGTTGTATAGAACATCCACTTCTGGCATAAGCAACGAAAAAAACTCCAGGAGCTGCATAAATGCTCGGTCCCGCAGTTTCTTTGACAGGCCGTATGCCTCACTTATGGTGACCGCATCCCATCCTGGTTGTGCGCGTATATGCTTCATACACTGAAGTAGTGCATCTCGGGTCTCCCAAACCGCGTTCACAGTTCTGCTTTTAAAGTTCCATCTCACAGCCGGTGGCCGTGGGATGCGTCTCTGTGTTGCCTCTGCAAGAGCTGCAACACGTTTTGGAGCACCGGAGAAAAAAGTGGAAAAAGCAGTTAGATCTGCAAAAAACACCTTCAGGATGCTCATCCTTGCTGAACACAGTTGCTGCAGGGTCATGTTCAGTTGGTGGGCGTAGCAGTGAACAAACTGAGCGTTTGGGTACGTCTCCTTCATCACCGTCTGTACCCCGCGCACGTTACCGCTCATGACGGCCGCCCCGTCATAGGTCTGAGCGATTAGCTTTTCTTTCAGCTTCAGGGGTTCCAGAACAGCCTTGATGCTGTTAGAGAGACCTACACCAGTTTTGTCCTTTACTTCCACAAACTCCAAAAAACGCTCTGTAACTGTGAGGTCAGGCATAATGTATCGCAGCACAATCACCATTTGCGATTTACAGGAGACATCGGTTGTCTCGTCGGCCTGAACGGCAACAAATGATGTGTTGTCCACTTGCTTGGCTATTTCCTCCCTGTACACATCATACATGCAGTCCAAGAGTTCATTCTGTATGGTGCTTGATGTCCCTTTGAAAACAAGCTGAGCTTCGTAGTGCCGTTGAAGCCTGGAATCGCCCTCACACATTGTCTCGAAAATTGACCTGAATATCCCTGGATTCAGAGAGTCCGCCGACTCGTTGTGGCCCCGCAGTGCTGTCTCACATTTCCCACACAGTTTAATACAGGTGATGATCCGACCAAGCACGTACCTGTTTTCTTCCACCTTCCTATTATGAGAATCAATGCCGCGTCTGTAGGCGCTGTCAATCTGAGCTGCAACATTCACCCTTCCAAGTAATCCCAATTTTACGGCATTTTCCAAATGACTGTTGCTGCTCTCATGCTTCATTGTCCTCTCCGAAAGATGCTTTAAGTCCTTGTAACCTGTCCTCGACCAAGTACCTTGATCTTCACCAAAAAGCAGGCAAGGAAAGCAAAAGAGGGAATTCTTCTGGATGCTCGCCGTTAGCCATTTCTTTTTAGCAAACCACTCAGCGTTAAACCCACGTTTAACTTTGCCCACAGTCTGGAC